CAAGATGCTTACTTCCACATTTCGATTATACCGGGTCACAGAAGATACCTCAGATTCACACGAGGCCAGGACCACTACCAGTACAGGCACTCCCTTTTGGACTCTCATTGGTCCCCAGAGTATTCTCCAAGGTTCTCTCTGTGGTGGAGACCCACCTATGGTCCCAGGGCATTATGATCTACCCTTATCTGCATGATTCACTCCTCAAGGTATGTTATCCATCAAAATCAGGAAGTCAAGAGCTAATATTTCTAATGTATAAAAACAAGTGGAGGAAAAACCCTAAAAAAGAAATAAAATCCAAAAAAACCTTTCAGATTTTATATATCCTAAAAAAGTAAAAAAAAAAAGGCACAACCCAATTTTTTCTATATAGGTGTCCTTTAAACAATGTGAAATTAATCCCTTTGCATATATTACAAAATAATATTGATAACTTCAGCTTCATGACTAAATTGTTATTTATATTAATGAAATAGAGATATCTCCAGATTGGTATTGGAGAGAGGCAAATTTTAATGTAGAGTAAGAGGCAGTTGACAGGTAGAGTGGTACGGGATAGAAAGGCAGAATGGGTAAATATTTTTTATTTTTAAATTTAAACCAAATAAATTGCCCTGTTAGTAAACATTCTAAAGGAAATAAAGAAGAAAATAGTTTTAAATGCTAAATACTAAATTTTAGTACACGTAAAACTCAAATTTCTATAGCTATTATTTTCATGTGTTATTTTTTATAAATATTGAGATCTGATCACTAGAAGTACATATTATCCACTTTTTTTATAAAAGGTATTAAACAGGAGACAGGACAATGCAATTCTGAAATGTTCACATTGTATGTTACAGGTTGCATGACTATATGCTTTGTATTGGAAATCTTAGCACTTGTGCAAAGGACAGCAAAGTACTGTATAAAAGTTAAACTTTTGCTCTTTCCTATTCTTCCAAAGTGTTATTGTCTGAGTTGCTGCCCATGATGAATTATATTTGATATAGATAAATGACAAGGAACGTGACTGTGTGCGTGCAATAAGCTATTCTGAAAAATCACCGTTCAGCGAGGGAAACCAAGAGATTATATAAGTTGATTTTTTCCCTCAAGTTGAATGTTGAGATCATTCAGGTGTGCTGTAATATCACAAAAGAAAAAGAGATCTTGATTCCAGGATTTTCAGCACAAATCCAGGTACAATGTGTATGATAATCCAGTTGGGCCATCTCCAGCACCCCCCCCCCAGACGTTCTTGTTAAACCCTGGATTTGTGCTGGAAATGGCCCACCTTGATTATCGTACACACTGTAAGGAGAGTGGTCACTTTAGATAAGCTATTACCAGCAGGAGAGTGGGTTTGTGTGTGTGGGTGGGGGAGAAAACCTGGATTTGTGCTGGAAATGGCCCAACTTGATTATCATACACATTGTAAGGAGAGTGATCACTTTAGATAAGCTATTACTAGCAGGAGAGTGGGGTGGGGGGAGGTATTTTTTCATGCTTTGTGTGTATAAAAAGATCTTCTACACTTTCCACAGTATGCATCCGATGAAGTGAGCTGTAGCTCATGAAAGCTTATGCTCAAATAAATTGGTTAGTCTCTAAGGTGCCACAAGTACTCCTTTTCTTTTTGCGAATACATAAGTTTTTATTTGTCCATTCAGTGTTGAAAACTCTGTGCTCTGATTCTATTTTTCTCTTTTTCTTTTCACTCATGGTATCCATTATGAAGCTCAAGATTGTATTGAATAAATTCACACACAAGGGAAACACTCACAGTCACACTCAAAGATAAGAGATAACTCACGGCGCATGGCACACTAACAACGCACTGATGGTGTGTGGAAGCCTGTAGAGGGGGAAAGAAATGGCATGCATACGGTGACCAGATCACAGCAGTAAAATAGGACCCGCCCCCTCCCCATTCGACCCCACCATCACACCCCTCTTCACCCCCTAGCCCCCCGCTGGCTTCCTGCATCCCTCCTAGTCAGTCCCCCACCCACCACTCACCTCCTTTCACCTCCTCTCTTCCCTGCCATAAACCCACATGCCCGCCCCTAGAACCCCTGCTGGCTCACTGCTCACCTCTTTGCCCACCCGCCGCTTGCCCACCCGCTCGCCCCCGACTCGCTGCTCGCTCTCTCGCCCCCCCAAATATAAAGCCTCATTCAAAGACCCAGGGGTCACTATATTACTGCACACAGCAGTCAATCAATGCAGTTGTAGATAAATCTCTGCATTATGCATTTTTGTATAACTTTTATATGACTATGTATTGAACCTTGGTAATATGTTATACCAGGCCCCTAAGGTAGTATAATTAAGGTAAAAGAAAAATGTCTTTTTGCTAGAAGTAGAATAAGATCTTCCCCCCACTTTGTAATCAATTGCCCTGTTGAATGAATGAGGTGTGAATGAGGAAGATGTGGAAGGCAAGCACCTCCAGACAGCTGCAACCCTTGGAGAGGTGATGCGAGCCAGACCAAGGACAATCAAACTTGTCAAGTGGGCTGACTAGAGAAGAGCAGACAAGCACCTTCCTTTGGGAACACCCTCTTTGCAGCATTGGGACAACCCCCAGTCCAGAGAAAAGCAGCAAAAAGGACCAACGGGGACAGTCCCAGATTTTGAATCTGGGAGATTTGCATAAGAGGGAAGCTGTTATAAAAGTGAGGTGTCTTGCGGAGAACCCTAGGTTTTGTCTTGTCAGCATCGGAGCATTGATCTGGATCTACAGAAGCCCGGCTCCACCACTCCCCCATCTAACTCATCTGGCCAGTGACGTTAAGGGAAGCAACTCATTGGTAACAACAGCAAGACGGAGTGTGTTTGTATGTGAGTGCATGAGTGTGATACATATCATATGCATAGGATAGTGTTGATTATTACATGTACTACTAATAAATGTGGTGTTTTGCCTTATTAACCCTGAAAAGATCCTGTACAGTACTTTAAGTACAACAAGGTAACAAAAATTAAAATACTGAAAATTGATGCCCCCCCTCCAGCCACCAAGTCGCCGCTTGCCCCTCAGCCCCCCTCCCCCGCGGCCAGCTCACCTGCCCCCCCAGCCACTGGCCTCTTCACCACCCCGCCCGCCGGCTGGGTGTGGAGCGCTTACCTGGGGAAGCTCGTGTTTGGTGCTCAGGATTGGGGTGGGGATGTGGGGGGGTTCAGGAGTCAGGGCAGGGGGCTGGGGAGATGTGGGGGGGTGCAGGGCAGGGGGCGCAGGGGTCAGAGTGGACAGAGGGCTGGGGTCGTGGGCTGGGGTCATGGGCTGGGGTCATGGGGGTGCTCATGGCAGAGGCTGGAAGGGGTGTGCCCTGATTCTAGCCCCTTCCCCAAGGCCACGCTCCCTCCTCTTCTCCTCCTCCTCCCCGGAGCAGCAAGCATGCTGAGGCTCTGCTCTTCCCCCTCCCTCAAGAGGCAGCAGGGAGAGGGGGAGGGGAGGGAATGTAGCATGCTGGGGGAAGAGGCAGGGGAGGAGCCCCAGCTGCCAGCAGCATCAAGCTTCTGCCCCCACAGGAGAGAGCAGGGGGACGGAGAAGAGCGGGCCAGGCCGGGGCCCCTTTGGACCAGGCGCCAGTGACGCCATGGTAAATCCGGTATTGCTGCCACTGCCCGCCTGCCTGCTTGGCTCGCCATCCCCCCATCCCCCTCAGCTCACCTACTCGCCTCCCACCGCTGGCTCGCCTCCTCAGCCTCCCTCCCCCGCCGCCAGCTCACCTGACCCCCAGCCACTGGCCTCTTCACCACCCCGCTCACCCGCCAGCCGGCCGTTGGCTTGCCCCATCCCGCCGCTTGCCTACATCCCCCGCGGGCCGCACAGTGAGCCCACGGGGGCCGCATGCAGCCCTGGGGCCACATGTTGCGCAGGCCTGCTCTAGACCGCCCTTACGAGCTGTGTATTTATGAAGTGTAAATGTTGCTGTAACCCTGATCCTGCTGACTAGGAAGGGAGGGAGGTGAACACCTTCCCCCAGAGAGAAACGTAAGAGGAACCAGGACTCCATTCCCCCCTTCCCCACATTCACATACGCAAAAAGACCTGTACGGCTGTGTTAGGGGGCCTTCGGGCAAAAACTCTCCACACCCAGCAAATGCTACAGTGCTGCTGATGTGGGATCTGTGAAGCAGCCAGAGCTGCTACCAAACTCTCTGCCTGGACTCTGATCTTCCCCATTGACTCTTGCTACATTTTGAGACATTGGCTTCTCTGGCCTTTTGGAGCACCCCAGGAGAGATAGGAGGCATTGCCTTTTTCTCCCCACCCATGTCATATTCAATCTATGCCATATAAAGGCAGAGGGTGTGGAAGGGTGAGGGAGGTTAAACTAGACTAGTAGCAAGTGGCTCCTTTCCTGTAGTACTTCAAACGTATAGCCAGCCCAATTACAAGGAGCAGAGAACTTCAGGGAAGTCCTGCCCCTTTCAAAGGTGACCTTTTGAGGGAACTTAAAGGGCTGGTAGCTCATTCAGAGGAGTCAAATCGCTCAGGTCATATATGGGATAAGTACAGTAGCCAAGAAAAGTGTCAGCTCTCATTCCTTGATGAGGGTGTGGGGCATTCCCTGGTGTTGGGGGTCTCCCTTGGCTTGTATGTGGGGGAATCTCCCCAGGGCTTGGCTGTGATCCTCTGGCATGAGAGCTCTTTTGGTATGTGGTGGGGGTGGGGGGCAGGTAACCCCTCTGGCTGCATATCTTGCTGTAGCAGTGGGTGTTCCCTGTAGGGATGGCTCCCTCCATAGCTGAGTGTATGAGGGGGTTCACTGGGGGAAGTGTGGCATGTGTATGGAGGGGAGGGCTCCTGGGGGAAATGGGGTCACGGGGGGGTTATACAGGAGGAAGGGCTCCCAGGGGTAGGGGGGGTCGCCGGGGGCTGAGATGTGTAAACGTGTGAGGGAGGTCACGACGCGGTTTTGAGGGGGGCAGAGCGCCCCGGGGGAGGTTAAGCAGCTCTCAGCGTTGCCCCCTCCCCCCCCGGCTCCGGGCCCGCCCCGAGCCCCGCCTCTCAGCGGCCGGGCCGGAGGAAGGAGGCGGTGGCTGGGGGCGGGCTCGTCCAACGCGGCTGACGCTGACCCCGAGTCCCCGCGCAGCGGGTAAGGGAGGAAAGGGATGGAGGCAGCCCCTGGGGCCTGGCTAGGCCCAGGCCGGGCTCCCCCGACCGGGCGGGCTCTCATGCGCGCCAGGTCCCGGGTGACCTGTCTGCCCGCGCTTGCTGCGGGCTGCACCCACCCGCCCAGCCCCTGTATGTGCCGGCGGCGGGGATGGGCCTATCTCCGCGCTGACAGGGCCCGAGCGCCTGCGGCCTCAGCGAGCTGCGACCCGCACCCCTGCGCCGCGGGCCCTGCCTAGGCGGGGGGCTGGTCAACGTCCGTTCAAAGTAACTTCCCGCCCGGGCCAGGCTCCGTTCCCGGCCAGCGGGACTCCGCCGCCCCGGCCATGTGAACGCCAGGCTGCTCGGGCCGGCACAGCATCTTCCTGGAAATCTGCGTGCGCACAAATTGGGAAACTGGAAACATCCCCACGCTGGGGTGGGGGCTATTTATGGGCATTATCCCCACCCTTCACATGCTTCCTCCACAGTGGCCTGTCTGTACTGTCCGTTGTCCTTTGTAAAGCAGGTGATTGCAGTGTCCATGATGCGGTTGGCTGTAATCCATAGGTTACCTAGCATGGCGAAGCCTGGTGGGTTGCTCTGTAGGGTCCGTGATCAGGTTTTGATTGTTGACCCTGCTGCTTTTCTTGCAGTCTCTGCCACTTGTGTTTTGGTGACGGTTTTGAGAGCTTTGGGCCCCTAACTAAATGGGATTCCTGAAATTAAGGTGGCATCTTGGTGGGAGAGGGGGTGATTGGAGACTTTCATAGTACATGCATCCAATCAAGTGTAGCTCACAAAAGCTTATGCTCAAATAAATTAGTTAGTCTCTAAGGTGCCACACATACTCCTTTTCTTTTTGTGGATACAGACTAACACGGCGGCTACTCTGAAACCTTTCATAGTCATGCAAGTCTGGGTTTGACCTCCAAATCACAGAACATCTATGAATCCACTGTCTGTGTAAGATCCTTCTTTGGTGTTTTGATTCATTCCTTGTCACCAGAAGAGTGGATGACAAATCTGGTTATCTACCTTTAATGTTGCTTTTCAAATTTCCATATGAAAAAATAAGAGATGCTTCCTTTAACTGTCTTTGTGTGCTGTATGGGCCTGTGTTTTATTTTTACAGAGAATAGGCAGGGATAACATGTAGCATTGTTGGATATGGATGGTGTCAGTTGATCTTTCTCTACCTGTCCGATCTGTGCTTAAGCCAGAGGAGAAGGAAAAGGAGAGTAGTTCTAGGGGGGGAAAAGATGTATGTGTAAGAGAAGGTAAGGATGTATGTCTGATGAAGGAGTAGGTGTTTGGTCTGTGTTGCTGTTTAAATCTGTTTTGGATTTTCAAATGAAGGAAGATTAATTGAATTCTATGTACTGTAAAAGGCAACGTTTACTATCATTTTTGGTTGTAGTATCAATCAAATCTTCACACCAAGATAAATGAACACAGGCCTTTAAATTAAACGAGTGTAGAGTATATTATATGGAGCTGCAAAATACAGCCAAAACATTTTCTTTAAAAAGGCACCTAAAATTAAAATCATGGACTGGCCTGGATAGCTGAGGATGGCTAGATACAATGTCAAAAAAGTAGGGCTTGGTAGCTGTCCACAAGAGAATGCCTGTGAAGAAAAGGGGGAAAAAAACAAAACAGATTGCTCAACTTTTCTGTTTTGATTTTCTTGCAATGTTTGGCTGTGCCTCCTTGCCTTCAGCTTTAAGAATGTCTGTTCTGTGAAGTACAACGATTTCTGCCTACTTTTACCACCAGTACTGATCCAGTGCTCAATTGTAGAAGAACATTGAATTGTGTGGGGTTCTGTCCTTTAGTGATTCAATAAGAGACAAAACAGAGACCCTGATTGCTTGTGGTCACTAAGTCCTCAATTCTCCAAACATGCATATGATTAAAGTTATTGACATGCCCAAGTGTTTACAGGATCGGAACCTACAGATCACATGGAACTTTTTATAAGAGTAGAGATGAAGACCTTAGTGTTTGGACCGAATTCCAACTTGGGTAATGACGTTCTTCACACTCAAATTTCCCCTGTAGTTACCACTGGATAATCAATTTTTGCTTAGTGTCCTATGTGGTTTTGTGTCTTTACTATGTGCTGTTAAATGACTACTGCATTCAACCCAAAGGGTGAGTAAAGTGAGCCTTATACACAGAGACTGTAAAATGCTCTGGGATCCTTCAGGATGAAAGGTGTTAATATAATTGTTACTACTTCAGAAGTGAACCTGTTAGCAGTTTTTACTTCTAATTATTTTATTATTATTTGTATTGTGATAGCAGCTGGGAGCCTCATTGGACCAGGACCTTGTTGTTCTAGATGCTGTACAGACAAAAAAAGACAGGACAAAAAGACAGTTCCTGCTCCAAAGAGCTTGCAATGTAACTATTGCTTATCTATAGTTAGGAGTGTTTTTAACTTTTTGTTAGACAGTTGTCTAGGCGGCAGGTAGTACAGATAGTAGAACCTCATTCTGGCTCCTATTTTTGGGGAGCAAGTGTAGTTTGAAAAATGAAAGTAAATGATTACTAAGCGCTGTTTTCCCTGCAATCTTTGTTTTTTCTTTTTTCTTTTCTAACAGTAAGTGAAAGTAAACACAACCAAGAATCAGAACTGGGAAAGTGAAGAGAAAGTCTTAAAGCTTCTTTCATTAAACAAGGGTACTCCACTAGGGAAGTAGATCTCATCATGGAATGGATCACCCAAACACCCCTGCGAGAACCGGCTTCCATACAGAAAAAGTAACCCAATTGATCGCACTCCCCTAGTTGTCTCCTTCCACCTCATACTAGAATGCTTTCAGGGTATCATTATGCAGTTACAACAACAACCCGTAGTTGAGGGTGATCACATCCTGAAAGAAATCTTTCTCAGCCTTCTTTCCCCTACCCCCCATTTCTGTCTTCAAACAACCTCCCTCCCTTAGCTTTGCCAAGGTCATCATCAGAAGCAAGCTCTCCACAGATTAGGACACACTGACTCAAAGTGGTGCCAGAACAACAGATGCAAAACATGCAGACATAGCAATACTGCTATGATGATCAGTACCATTGCCACTCTCCCCAACACACCTTTCAAGATCCATGAGTCCTACACTTGTCTATCAGAACGTGGTATATCTCATCCAGAACATCAAAAGCCACAACAACTTTGTGAGTGAAGCTAGACAATCACAGTGCTCTCAAATGAACTCATGAAAAAAATACATCCTATCACCTGTGAGCAAATCCTTTTCATGAAGTGATCACTTCATATCTAACTTCTCAGTTCTCACCTTCAAAGGAAAGCTACACAATGCCTTCAAATGATGAGCCTGGAACTTAAATTCATTATGCTCCTGGACATTAAAAACCATGGACTTGACAGAGACAGGTTTTATAGCTCATTACAACACTGTATAACACGCCCTACCACCTGCTAACCCTTAATTGCCCACTTCATTTTAAGTGGTCTCCTACCTACAGCATGTGTAGATCCCCTTATGCTTAAGAATCTGTCCCACCTTCTATTTAGTTTGGACACTTCGGTTACCTTTTCCGGACCTAAGGAAGAGCTCTGTGTAACTTGCAGTGTTGCCCATTCCACCAATATAAGTTGGTCCAATAAAAGACATCACCTCACCTACCTTGGTCTCGCTGAGGAAACACTCAAAATAGTAGTGGGGGGTGGGAATTGAAGGTTGCATGACGTAACTACATAGCACGCAGTGGACAGAGAATGGACTGGGACTCAGAAAACTTGGGTTCTATTCCTGACTTGGCCTCTGGCGTGCTAGGTGACCACTCCACGGCTCAGTTTCCCCATCTGTAAAATTGTGATAAGGACTCCTTTGTAAAATGCTTTGAGATGTACTGATGAAAAGTGCTAGATGAGACGATATATTCAAACAATATTGCATTTTTATAGTTTATATTATTAATATGTATCCCAATTAATTGAAAAAGTTTTAAATATTTAGCCTGGTATTTTAAAAGAAGCTAAGGGAATTTTAAAATACAATGAGAGTTGGGAACCTAAATTCCTTAGGCTCTTTTGAAAATCCCAACCTTAATTATCTTAGTCAGCAGTCTGTGTGCAAATGAGCACACCGGACAGGCAAGCAAAATACGTTAGAACATAGATATGCCACCAAAAGGAATTTTTTTTATGCCGAAATTGTTTTGAAGTCTCTGATCACTTTGATTATTATTTACTAGTTGAAATTCTAAACATATAGACTTGTGTGCATGAGGTGGGGGAAACAATTTAAACTGTTGATTTGAACAGCAGGCTTGATTTACAAAATACCTAGCCCTAGTGGGAAAACTTTTGCGTGTTTTATGTTTTTGCATGGTGCTCTGATTACCCAAAGTCTTAATCACAAATTTCCTATTAATTGTGATATGTTACTTTCAGGGTCACCTAGGTGTTATTGAATTTTGCAATTTTGTTTAAAATAGCAACAATAATATGTACAATATTAGCTCAGACTCTCAAGTCTGGTATCCTGCCTCTGGCAGCAGCCAATACTTGAAACTTTAGAGAGTGATGAGAAAACCCATAATGCACTTAGCAAATTGTACAGTTCTGTATATGGGAGAATAATTCCTCCTTGGTCGCTAGTGGTGGTCAGTTTCCACCATGGAGCATTAGAATGATAACCTTTCTTAGATTATCTTTTTTCCATTCTGTTTGAATTCTTTATTTCAGTAGAAGACACCAATTATTTGACTGGGAGACTTTTTTTTAATGACTATAAAGTAAATAGGCAAGACGTAGTTTCTCCCAGCAGAACAGGTGCGTTAGCATTATCTGATTTTTAAAGGCTGAGTTGTTAGATGAATTGATCTCTCTTCTGTGTGTCCACTGTGTTCCTAGCATCTATTATCATCCCTTTTTTTCCTTTTATTCCCCTTTTGGTCATCGTATTCAACTTATTCATAAGTGATCTGGAGAAAGGGGTAAACAGTGAGGTGGCAAAGTTTGCAGATGATACT